GGGGGGGGGGGGGGAATAGGTTTGGGAGAGGAAACCGGGAAACGTATTCTCTCTGTGCATCCCTGCGTCCACCTTCCCGTCTGTTACTGGGGGAGGAGGGACAGGACAGACGCTCAGGCCCCGGAACTGGTTATTAGGTCCAGAACCTGGAGGACGGGTCCGGGCTGGAGACGCGAGTCGCGCACAGATACATAGAGACGCACAGAGTGGTGTTTAAAGGCACGGGAATAACGAGGCTATTTAGGGTGCGCTCAGAGAGAGGAAAGGGAAGAGGGCCCAGCACAAGGCCTGGGGTCCCCCGTCATCTGAGGGATGGGGCCGGGAGCAATCCCTCATGCCGCGCCCTAGCCCGTCTCTCTTCTCTCTGACTCTCTCCTCAGGCCTTGTATGACCCCATCAACCCCGACAGGGAGACCCTCGACCAGCCTTCGCTTACGGACCCACAGCGTCTGTCCAACGAACAGGAGGTGCTCCAGGCTCTGGAGCCCCTGCTGGCCCAGGCCAATTTCTCCCCGCTGTCTGAGGACGCTCTGGCCTACGCTCTGGTGGTCCACCACCCTCAGGATGAGGTCCAGGTGCCTGTCTTCCAGAGGAGGACCAAAACTCCGGAAGGCCTGGGGGCAGGGATGAGCCTTTGGGAGGCAGAGGCTGCTGGGAGTTGTCCTGAACGCAGGGCGTGAGCCCATGCAGCGTTCTCGGTGAATTAGACTAGGGCACCTCTTTCCCAGTCGGTCCACTGCCATCTGTTGGAAAAAGAAACGGACCTTCTTAGGACTAGAGGCTTTCTCGCCATCTGCCAGAAAACTGTGATAATAAGTAATACGAAATGCTCATCCTTAAAGTAAAAAAAAAAATAATAAAAGTACTATAATCTTCCAAACTCCCCCATTTTAACGATGTTAAGACATACTTTTTACTGAAGTCACATTCTATTGTCCCTGAAATTGGAAAATAACTTCTAAGTGGTGGTGTGGCCTAGTGTTAATTGGCAATATATTTTCTCTTTCAATTGCTTCATAAGGTAATGGAGGATCCAATCGACAATCATATTACAATATATAAATGCATCAAAGTGAAATGTCGTGTACCTTAAGCTTACACAATGTCACATGTCGTATCTGACAACCGGTGGCATCTTAGATTCTCAGAAATATGGCAGTAAAAATGACTGTGAGGTAAATGGTGCCATCTCAGATAGTATGCCCTTGCGCAGTACACAACACGAGCAACCATACAGGGCCACCCTGCCTAAACACCGGGTGATGATAAGCCTGGGAGGAGGGTGGACATCACTGGGAGAAGGGGCATCTAATTCCAGTAACCTGTGCTCTCACCGCAGACCATGCTCATCCGCCTCTGCTTCCTTTGTCCCCCTCGTCAGGTGACAGTAAATTTGGATCAGTATATCTACATGCAGTTCTGGGCCCTGGGCCAGCGAGTTGGGCAGATCCCCCGTAAGTCCAGCGTGGGCTCCAAACGTGGCTTCATCAGGTCGCCCCCCGCAGAGAGGTGAGGCGGCCCTTGTTCCCCAGCTGCAGCGAGAGGGAGCAAGGTTAGAGTCGAGAGGGGACTGCAGGTCAGTGTCTGCATTTGGGTGTCTGGGCCCTGGGTGGGAAGTCGAGAAAGGGGGCGGGGAGATCACCCAAATGCCGCCTTTCCTTCCCAGGGGGAACATAAGAACTAGCATTCCCAGGGGAAGAGAGAGGGGAGCGACACTTGTCCCCATTTTCCAAATGAGGAAAGCGGAGCCTCAAGCAAAGGAAGGCCACATTCTGAAGAAATGGCGCCACCAGGACTCCGATGAGCCTCATACTTTGAACGGAGGCCCTTCAAATACAGAGTAGGGTCAGGAGAGCCAGATCTTCCCTTGGGCCTATAAATTACCCGATCCTTCTGGAAATCAGTTGATCAGATATGGTCACGAATCCAAAAAAGCAAAGCAAAGCAAAGCAAAACAAAACAAAACAAAACAAAAAAAAACACCGCCGAAGACAAAAAGCCCTCACGCCCCTAAAGCAGCAATTCTGTTTCCAGGAATCTATTCCAAGGAGATATTTATACTTTGCAGGCTGTGTAGTTTAATTGT